GGAGTTCCAAGTGGAGATCCTTGTGGAGATCCTTGTGGAGAACCAAGTGGAGTTCCAAGTGGAGATCCAGGTGAAGAACCAAGTGGAAATCCAGGTGGAGATCCAGGTGGAGATCCAAGTGGAGATCCAAGTGGAGATCCAAGTGGATTTCCAAGTGGAGATCCAGGTGGAGTTCCAAGTGGAGATCCTTGTGGAGATCCTTGTGGAGATCCTTGTGGAGATCCCTGTGGAGATCCTTGTGGAGATCCAAGTGGGGATCCAAGTGGAGTTCCAAGTGGAGATCCAAGTGGAGTTCCAAGTGGATATCTGGGGTGACAAAAGCTCACAATTCTGTTAATGCATGATGAGTGTATTTATGTAAGGTTAAACTTTTGCTTACAAAATGCACTGTGTGGACCACACTACAACAGTTTCATTTTAATGATGGACAGAGGAGTTACTCTAGGAATTTGACTGTTAAAAATGGCCTCTTAATTGCAAATGTGTGAAGGTGCACTGTTTTTTGTTTCCTTTTAATTTGCTTTTCCAAACCCAGGGTATCACAATTAGTTATTGTAATGTGGTGATTATCTGTAATACTTGTTGAGTTGGCGATGTGTTTCAATATTATCCTGCTCATGGACACAGGGAACCCAATCCTAGGTAGGCTACAGAAAATGTCCGAAAAATTTGCTGGAAATCTCAAGTCTCAGGTAGTGTTACCATTTGACTTTGAAATCTCCTGTGGCGCAGTTCCCAGCATCAGAATATCTGTATGTATTTTTTCACAGCGGGATAGCAGGTGGTCATTTTGTGTTGAGCTTCTCTTCTTATCAAGCCGAAGAAGTTTCAGTTTTGTGTGTTTTTGTCAAGCATGGGATTGTCTTTTCCTCATCATTTCTGAGTTTTGGTTTTGTTCTGTAAACATTAATCCAGCCCATTACTTGTATTTGTCTTCCTTGTGACTCATACATGTATTTGTTTTCCTTGTTGGTGTGTTATGGTTTAGTTCAAGGTGTCGCCCCTAGCCTAAGTTATTTGGAGTCAGATTGCCCTCAGATAAAGCTTGCATGCCGTTCAAAGGGCAGCACATGAAACATCCAACACTGTTTAGTTTTGCCATTTCAAATAACCAGCATGTATTTACTTTTGGTTGCTAACACATTCTTGACATGTGGTATTTCTTCAGTTCCTGTTTTGTTGTTTGTCTCTGTTTTGAAGCATTTCACAAAGAGCATGATGTCTTGTTTTTGCTTTTCGATTAAACTAATGTCCTCCTACTGTAGGTGATGCTCTGTTTTTATTATTTTACAAAAAATAACAACTTGTCTTTCAGTTTCTCCATTTATGCTTATCATGTTTAATAGGAGATAGTCCTGTGTCAACTCACTGAGGTGATATTTGACCCATTCTGAGTTGGCTGAAAGTGTCAAAGAAAGTGTCAAGTGTAATATTCTTCCCTCCGTGAATCTGTTGGACGTTTTCTCACAGCTTTCTGCCTGGGACATTTCATTACTGCAACTACCTGTGACCATGTAAACAATTCCAAGCCAGGTTTTAAGAACTGATGTCTGAAAGGATGTCTGAGAGTTTTTCTGTTCAGCCGAAAATACTTTCTTTAGTTAGAGCTCAGATGTACTGAAGAGGAACATCTTGCATGCGGATACTTTCTTAAGAGTTTTATCAAAATGGCAAAAGTAAAACTGGCAAATGGCAAAAATTATCATTGTTTAAAAAATAAATTGAAAAAAAAAGCACAGTGATTTGACACAGGTTGGTTAGTCTTAAAAACATAAATATCATTTGTGTCAGTTTTGTGAAATTGTGTTATTTTAATGAATGTATCGTTTTGTTGGAGTTTGTCCCTTGTTATCATGGTTATTAAAAAAAAGGACATGCCCACTGTTTGAGAAATTGTTTATGTATACACATTTGTACCTGTCAATCTTCATTCAGATTTTTGAATCATGCAGATTTGGCTTTAATTTTTTAATTAAGGAATGTGATCTCTAATTGACAAAAGGTAAAGAGTATAGTAAAAAAAATCAGACTGTCAAGTGGAGAGTTTTTACATTAAGTCATCGTTTTTGCAGAGAAGATCTTTTTGGTTATAAGTTTGTGGTTAATGCATAGATATGTTTTCAGCATGTGCTGGCAGTCACCATGTGTTAAGGGCGCCCTCTATAGAGTCTGCAATAAAAACTGGTCTCACCAGGATACTCATGATGTTTGAGCTGGCTAGAGAAATTGTTACATGACAAGCTTGTATTGCAGGCAGTATCATAAGATGGCTTTCTGCCTCTACCATCAGTGCATGATGAAGTTATTGGTTGTAGGGAGCCAGTGTAATTTCCTATTTCATTACCTGTCCGTTTCACGAAATCAAGCATTAATGCTGTACATGTATTTACATGTCTCTGTCAAATTTATGTATGATTCATTTTGTAAGTCTTCATGTACACTATGTGCATATATAATTTTTTTTCTTTCATTTCAAACGGACATGTTGTCTTGTTACACATAACTTCATTTGGCTTATTAACATCAGAAGATGAGCTTATATGCAATGGGATCTGTTCCACACCAACTCAAATCCAAGTTTGTGAACTCAAGAATTTTTGAAATGTTTTCTCTAAAATTCTGAAAGATACCACAGTTGCCAATCTCCTGCTTTGACAGCAGCTTTGAGAAGGAAAACTAAAATCTCATCAATTTATTGCTTGGTTTGGTTTGGTGTGGGACCGACTTTTACAGCTAACAAGAGGTACCAGGCTGCACTGTAAAGCCATCTTGCACGGGCATCTTTTCCTTGTACAAGGAGCACCTGGTCTGCTTTCATAAGTTTGTCTAGTTTAGCTGGTAGGTGCATGCACTGACATTATCTCCAACGATGCAGAGACCTCAGATCAAGACTGTGTCACTTGATAAAGTTGTTTCAGCAGCGAAATCTTGGCAACCTGAGCAACCCAGATATTGTGGTATTGTTTTGGACTTTTGCTGCATGGTTTTATCACACTCTTCTCTGTTTAAATCATACTCAAGAGAGACGACAAAGAGTATTATTTAAAACATTTTCTGTTATGCTAGTCGTCTGAATAATGATAAAAATCCAAGTGAGAAATAACACCGAAGAGGTCATCATGCATCGTTGGACACACGTGTATGTACAGTTCATGTACATAGCCATCCTTGTTAAACCAAGATTGCATTTTCAGTGGGCACGAAGACGTGGAGATGATGAAGTGGCAAATTGGGAGTTGGTTGCCGCTGCTTACCCCTGTGGTTCTACAACGCCCTGACATGAGTTACGCCCTCCCCCCTTGGTGCAGGTACCTGTACATGTAAAACGAGGGTTGGACCACACACTTTGTGGTTCTGTGCATAGACACTGTCTTTATATTGAAATGAAAGTGAGGCTGCACTTGCAAAGCAGATGAAGCCATTGCTTGGTAGGTTTGCCAAGGTATGCATAAGAACCTACTTCAGTGGCACAGGCCTGCCAGTGTGGCCTCTCTTTTGAGCTTCGGAGCTTCAGAAATGAGAATTGTTTAAGTCTGAGGAGGTCTTGTACCCTTCCCCTTCACTCTTAACGTTCTGTGGATTTTGGTTTGTTTAGTGAAACTTTGGTGACAACAGCATTCAAGATCTACGTACGTGAATTATTGATGGATATGGCCTGCTAAAATTTTAGCCTTAGAAATGCAATGGCCCTTTGAGTTGGAATTACCAATATTTAAATGTCTACCCCAAAGATCCCACTTTGAATAGTTCTTATTGAATACACCTTCCTTTTTTACGCCAGTCTTTATGCAATTCCCTAATGTCTGGCTACTTCTCAGTTTAGTGAACATGTCTGCACCTTGCGTTGGTGTGATCTTTTCTTGTATATCTGAAAATTTTGACAGACTTGTCAGAGCCTGGTTGAGTCCTTGTTGATAAGTCCTCAAACTACCGGTAACTCTTGCTATTGAATATTGTCATGTTGTGCAGGAAAAAGGCAGCACCAAACCTTCAGAATAATTACGTGTGGATTTTGTAATTATTATGGGCATATGGTCCTGAATGCTGGCTGTACAATGTTGGCAGTTCACAATTTGATTCTGTTAGCACTCCTCTAAAAATGATCAGTGTAATTGCAGATTAAGAATAACGCAAATATTTTGGAGATAAAAAACAGTTTCACAGAAGCTATGAATTTTTTTTTTAAAGTTTACATTTAAGCATTTTTTTTGGTCTCAGACCACAGGTACATGTAGTATAACTCACTGAAAAGGCAAACACAGAAACAGAAGTTTGTCTTTTACTGTCAAATATCATACTCCAAATATCATTGTGCATGAATGCATTTCCTGTGAGTCCCTGGTTGGGTGATCTTTGTTAGGCAGTTTTCTCGAATCAACAAACACCAAGTTTCGGTTTGATCAAAGTCTATCTTCTCAACTAGTGCCGTAAGTTTCAAGGCACTGCAAAGTGGTTTGGAAAGCAGGAACTGTTGTGCGTAAGAGTTGGCAGTACTGAGAAGTCATACATAACAATGACTGCTTAACAAATAACCTGTCTCATAATTTCAAACACCACCAGTTCAATTATGCACAGTATAATTAACTTTTTTATAGGCGTTTAGATATGATTAATTTTTCAAGGAGCTTTGTTTGCGTGCATGGGGACATTTTGGCTGGTATTTAATTGCCTGCCTGCACAATTAGTAGAAAAAAGATGAGTACAGGTGACATCTATTTGGGAGGGGGGGTTAATTTGGGAAGTTATTTAACACTCGCTGGTCAAACCTTGAGATGCAGCAGTGCATGAGAATGGGCCCTCATCTCTATTAAATGCAGGGAATGGTGGTTGAATGTCTGAATGACTGTGTGGATTGCCACTGTGGCTCAGCCCTTATGGTTGAACACGAGGCGCTGAACCTAGTCAGAGTGTCCCACAGCACCTTTGTTGACAAAGACACTGCATCTCATCCCTTCCTGCAATTTGCATCCATTTTTCCCAAACTAGCTTTTTGAGCTGCAGAGCTATTTCCCAGCTTATGAAAGGTGTCATCCAATATTAAACAAAGGAAGAGATTGAGAATTACTGTGTGTTGAAATATGTGCATGTATGTGAATTACCTCCATGTCGTCTCTTTAACCAGGTGAATGGTACATACTCTCTGGTGTAATTGCTCCTCCTTAGAAATGCCACATATTTTGTGTCTTCTGCATGTTTATGTACATTTGTGGTTGATCTTATGTTTGGACTTGTTGTGTTTGTGGTTTATGATTTGTTGACAGTGTAAAACAAGTGTTTATTTCGTTCTTTTCTCCAGTGTATGCCGTTGTATGTCATGTAATTCATTGTTACTGTGTTATTAGTTTCAGAAACCAGTAATTGTTAATATTTTGTAAATTAAGAAGCAGTTTAAGTGGGAGTTTTACATAAAGTGACAGACTTTGGAATTTTAAGTCTGTTTTTTATTGTATATGTGAGGTGTCACCACAAAATGAGCTGAAAGTTGGAATTTTCAAAAACCGAGATATTGGTATTTTGAATTCAGCAGAGAGTGAGCTCTCCAGTGGTATGTACGTGGAGAACTTTGGATAAAAATATAAGGTGACAATGTGACATTATCCTGACAGCTTTACGTCTTTGTTTTCAACATTGTTTCAACATTTGTAACTTGGTATGAACAAATATTGTCATCGAACTTGCTTAGAAAATGACATTTAAAACCTTTGATCCTGCAAACACTTTGGAATTAAAAAGACGGGTTACTCTTTCCAAATATTTCAAAACCCCCAAATTGACCTCCGCTTCAATGCTTGACGTTGAACCCTCAAAATAAGAAAGAGCGAATGTGACTTTACGCTCATTTTGTCGTGCCGGATCACATGTATTAATCCAACTCCAATTCTGGGATCATATTTCACTGACTCATATTTTGAAGCTGATCGTACACTCCTGTCAGAAGTATCTTGGTCATTCCATGAGGTTGGGGCACAACTTGTGACGGTGTCCTTGTTACATGAGTAACTTTTACCACCTGTCATGACCTGTACAGTAGGTTATTTACTCTGTAAAAATAATACACACCTCTGTATTCAGCCTTGCAAGGTGTGTAACAACGTCAATTTGAAATCTACACGCAGGGAAGTAGCTGTTCTTTTTACTGCACCCACGTAACAATAGACACCGTCACAAATTATGCCCCATTCTCATGGAATGACCCATCTAAAACAAACCCTCTGGTTACAAGAGACACCAGTAAGAGAGCGAGGAAGCAAAATTTAAGGCTGAGGTCAGCTTGTAAGCGGACTGAACATACCCCGCTACATGCAGTACACTTTAACTGGTAAATCGGCATCAATCTGTTGTCATGCAAAGTCCATGAGGGAAGGGATGATCCTCCGCATACAGGTAGCTCAGTGGTACAGGCACCAAGCAGATGTCACTCATTCTTCATGTTAATTGGAGTCGACTGAGTCTTCTAAAAAAGAAAAAACTAACCGCCGTCAAGTCATTGTCATTGGCAAACTTAATAGTCTAAACAGAAGTAAATTGACCATCACTTGGCCGGTCACTTCTTACATGTATCCTCTTTGTTGCGTTATGGACTGAAATAAGTGTACTGCCAGTTCATTTGCTTTGGTAGATACACTCAACTGAATTTGTTTCTATTTGTAAATATATCCGTCTCTGGCAACACATGTACTGAATGGAAATGGTTCGAAACTGTTAAAAAGGAGAAAAATTCATCCAATTCATCCGTGGTTAACTCTGCGACTTTTCATGGAAATAAGGTGGGCAAAAATGTTTGCTCTTTTGTAAATATAGGACACTTAGTTCATGTTCCAATTTACTCGTGTGTGGCCTGAAATTACAAATGACTCAATGAGTTCTGGCGGCGGCCACTCTTGTATAGTCTCATGCCATTTCATGGTGCAGCCAAGTAAATTCAGACGTAGCCAGTGAAGTTTGTGTTTCAAGACTTGCAGGTTCTTTTCTAAACTTTGTCTCACCACCTTTGTTCCCAATTATCGCTAATGCCCTGCCCCAACGTAAATGCCGCTTGAAGAGTTTGCTTCATCCTCGTCCTCCTCTGTAGGCATAACGTTCCCTACGCCAGCGTGCCGCCGCCGCAGTCATTTGCACGCAGCCGGCAACACCAAGGGGGTTACTACCAGCAGCAGCAACAGAAGCAGCGTGGCTACGGTCAGCAAAGTGGCTACGGCCAGCAAGGCGGCTATGGCCAGAACCAGCAGCAGCGCGGAGGTAAGAAGCCACTCAAGCATCTGTATATCTGATTTGAAATTTTCCATTGCCTCTCTGACAGCATGGGCTCATTTTGTCACCGCTCAGTGTTTTCTTCTGTTAGATGTTCGTAGTGTTATACTGACACTTTTTCCTCCTGATTGACATTGAGTTTGGCTTAAATGTACAGGTACCAATGCCAGTATGCACGGTCTTTGGAAGACAAATTTTGTCAGGACCTGAAGATGAAATCCAAATATTATCACCTGCAGTGTATAAAGTTCTCCATTTGTATCGCAATTGTATACTACTTAGACATAGCCTGGGTACTTGTCTTCAAAATGTGTGCTGTAGATTCTAGTGGGCATGGCAGTTGTAACAGCTAGCCTGGTCATATGATGGGTTAGAGTGACTAAGAAGGCATCTTTGTGATTGAGAGCAGGATACTCATGGCTATGAGCAGTACTCAGTTGGACTCGCCATGGATGTAAAAAAATCAGGAACAGCGGCAGCACAGGCGAGCATATTCGGCTCTGTTTATTAGACACGGAAAGATCCAAGTCATGGTCAGGTCACTCTCCCCTTCCATCGGACTGGCTATGGCCCCTGCTAGATTGTTTTTTATATTTGAGTGGAGGGACTGGCACATGATGAAGGGAAGCAAAAGGAGTATTTAGTACTAGTGGAGAAGGGTTTCTGACTACACTGGAGGATTGCCCAAAGTTGTCTTGACCTGGCACTGTACTTCTTAGGCAAACTCCCCCTCTGCCCCTCTGTCAGCGGAAGACTCCAGAGTCAAGTGTGCGCTTAGGCTGTACTCTAACTCGGTCTGCTAACATGCCACTGCAATTTAGGGTTCCCAGTGGAATGGAGTGGTAATAGGTCTTTAATCCTCTCTGCCGAATTTCTCCCCTGCCCTGCCCCTGCTCTGACCACATTTACATGTACATTCAATTTATCCAGCAGTTAGGGCCCTGCCTTCATGGATGAGAGGACCCCATTGAAGTCTCTTTGGCCATTTGTTTTAGCAAGTGCTCAAGAGAGGCACAGATATGGACCTGTCAACAATCCGACATATCAGAAGCCTCTCTGAATAAAAAGAAAAGAAAAAAAATCATTTCAGGAGGTTAGATTTGTTTAGCAGATGATCCGTTGTGGATCCAGCGTAGTGCCATTCATCAGCAAAAGAAGATGGATTAGCAGGGAGAGAAAGCCCTGCTAAATGGTCCGAGACCTATGTCAACTTGCTACAAAATGCCCACGACGATGCTGTGTTTACTCGTCCTCTGTGCTAACATACCACTGTCCATTTTCCCCCTGTCTCCAGCTCCAAATAGGGGGGCCTGTACTTTTCCAGACAATGGCCGAATTCCAAGCTTCTCATTACTCTCTGATCTTTCCGGACATTGCTTAGAAAGTGAAAGCTCGCAGTTGTTGCTTCCGTTTCCAAGATGGATTCTTTGTGCTAGTTGTTATACAAAACATCAACAAAAGACTTAATGGAGAAAGTCTCTTGAGAAATGAAACTTTACTCCAGAGATTTCAAGCACTCTCTTAGGTGGTGATTCTTGAGACAAGGTTTGATACTGACAACTTTTGGTGATAGCTTGTCAGAAATGTTTCAGCTCACATGCTTGCAACAGTGTCAAATTAAGACTATTCTGCCGAAAGGCCGGATGCATCTCTTATGCCACCCTTCACTAAAAACAACAGTTACAAGCTGAATTCAGACTGAATCCTGAAATGTGTGTCTCTAAGAAGGCTATTGACCTGCTTCCTTGCAACACGTATTCTAAATGAAAACAGCGCATAGTATTGTTTAATAGCATACTATTTTTGTACCTGTTACTCATTTTAGTCAACTTCGCCAGACACTGGGGTGGCCTTTGAGAAAGATATTGCTTGGATTGAAATGTGTTTTTTCAGATCAATGTAGTAAGCAGTTTGCATGACTTTTTGTACTAAACAAGAGATTGTGGGTGAACACTTTAATGAGTCCAAGTTGGCAGAATGATGACACATACATATAAATGGTGCTACACACACATGTACATGTACATGTGTTGGACACATACACGTACATGTATGTTCATGTAATTTCATTCATGTAGCTGTATAAAATTTTACCCAGTGATATTTAAACTTGAGAGGAACATCATAAATACAAATGGGGGATATGTGTACACTTGTTACTTCACACCCAAGTTGTTTACTTGAAAAAATAATGTAGGAGCAGTATTGCAAACACAGCTGGACTGCACCTCCTTGACCGTATTGCAGTTAGACTGGCTCAATGGCCACTCAATAAGTAAGCATATTTTTTTTGAGGTTGGCAGTTTTGGAAAAGAAAAAAAGTATTTGTATTTTAAAAAAGAAATTGGCCAGATGAATCTAGGGAAATGTGCTGACCTTTTGTAATATGTAGCCAAGCGCTGTGTTTGTAGAGGCGTGTTTGTAGAGTTGAGAGCTCTTAAAGAGTGGCACAGGTGTGAGGAGCCTTTGTCTGGCATGTCCAGTGGCCATACTCGGTCCACCTTGAGCCCACTCATTGGAGTGGTCCCGCACCCAAACACTGCCCTCGCCGGTCCTTTGTTGTCCAACTGACCACCTTGTTGCTCACTAACATCATCTCTTTTTTTGTTCCAGTCTCTTATTGAGCCCATCGAATAATGACATTTTGTTTTTGTTCATGGACGAACTTTGAATGAGGATATTGATGAATTTACATTTTGCTCTCTGTTTGTTAGTGTGAAGTGATGAGACTGACTTAACTGAGAAAATTTTATATTTTATTATTCTGAAGAATTGACGTTACCTGTTTTGCAAAATCCTGCTTGCTAATATTTTTTTCTTGCATCCTCGCAGTTGTCCCAATTGAAATCTGCATTCATGAAACCCAAAACCTTGTGGCCCAATACCATGCGCGGCATGTTTTGGATATCTGTAAAGGAAAGAGCTTGAGAAAAAAAATCAGAACAAGAGAGTAGCAAAGCGTCCAGATTTTACAAGTCCCCCTCCCCCGCGTTTACTGGTAAGAGTTGCACTCAAGACTGTTCCAAGTGTTTGGTGTTTGCCGTCTGTAGCCTCCTTCAGATCAATAACCAATGTGAAGAGAATGGCCCATTGTTCTCCATTCAGCCTTCTTTTTTGCTTCTCTATTGATTCTGGCCATACGTTCCTCTGTTGTTTTTTTTCCTCACACGGTGTAGTTTGTTTACTGAACCAGGTGCTCTGCACTTTAAGGGCTAGATTTTGAAACATTCTGTTTCTCTTCTAGATGTTTGTACTCAGCAGTTGGATACTTTGCTAGAACTATGGGGGCGCTGTTGCTGTTGCTGTTTTTTTTACCAGCCATTGGAATTGAGCAATGGCTCTCTGATCACAGCATGCATGTAATTGGAATGTTGGAGCATTCATGCACCTGTACATGGGCACTTGAAGCTGCATGCCAGTGTTACAGTTCAGTTTGGTTTGCCCATGTCTTTGTACTGGAACCCTTTTTTGTTCTCGAACTTCAAGAACTGTTCGTATTTATTTATAAGAAGACTTTATTTATGTCATTGGGAAAGTGTTGATTCTACACTGGGAGTGTAGTTTTTCTCTGGCCAGGTGACCCCAGCAAGCTCTGTGGTGAAGTGCCTTCACTGGTAAACAGGACAGTTTAGGTTCCAGCCCTTCCTAACTTACAACCTTTTGATTTTTTTTTTTTGGGGGGGGGTAAGCTTTCAGTCAACAGTAAGTATACAGTGCTTCTAAAACTTCAGCAGTTGGCTAAATAAGAAACGACTCTGTTTAACTACAGCATTTCAGGACACATACCTGAGAGAGTACTTTATTCCTTAATCGTACCCATCTGTTACATTCACAAAGCTTGTAATGCTGCAAAACAAAGTGAGGATAGAATGGTTTGGACGTACCAGCAAGTACCATTGCATTGTCTGCTGCTTACAATACATGCACATATATGTACACGTGCCTATGCACTAAGACTCTTTGTGTCACTGCCAATGAATTGTTGAGCAAATTCAGGGATTTTTACTGTAGTTTGGGGCTTTGCGGGGGGGGGGACCAGGTACCGGTAGATACATGTACATGTAATTTTGGCGACTGCTATTCTAACAGCCAGCAGGGCTAATTTACAGACATTCTTTTGTGCTTCAAAGCGCCGTCTCCATTGCTGATGCCTCCTTGATGGAAATTACTTGCAAGTGTGGTAAAAATGGACCGGTTTCTTAGTCGTTGAAGCTGTTTGGAAAAACTGCCAACATGCGGCTGGTTTCCAAAGATTTAAGGTGCCAGTGGAGGCATTTCAGATTGAGAAAATGTCCAAATGGCACCTCGGGACTGCTTGCTCAAATGCATATACATGTATTTTTCCTTGAAAAGGATCAGATTGAAACTTCAAGTGTCTGTTCAGAGGTTCTTGATACATTTGGAATCTGTTTGAATATCATCTCCACATTTTCACAGGTTTTATGAGGTGATAATGATGTGCCGTGGTGCTATAAAACATAATGACCATTGCTTTCTGGTTAAATATTAAAACCAAAATTACTGAGAGATAAGCCCCCTTCTATTGACTTTGCATTGAAGCATCATCATCATTTGTAAATGTTGCCCAGGTTTCTGGTTGAAAAATTGTGAATATGTGCTCAACTACCGGTAGAAAAATATTAAGCTTGCACGATTCCATATCGGGGAAAATTTGGAATATTTAATGCATCAATATGTTAGAAAAACCATCAAAGAGCTAGCCTCCTTATTGCTATCACTGTACTAAGGCCAACATTATAATCAGTGACATGGGCAGATGGGTGAACTAGTAAATTGGGCATTTTGAACCATGCAAACTCTACAACCAGTCACAAATAACTCTGTGTACAGGTATACATGTAATGCAAAGTAAGTCACAGAGGCTTTCTATTAAAACAACTCACACAATGCATAATCCATGATATAAATAGGCAAAAAAACCAAAAACACGTAACAGAAGAACACAAGCTAAGTATTAAAAAGAATTT